CTAATGTCCTTTCAGTGGCTCTCATCTCCCTCCAAGTAAAAGTCAAGGTGCTTAACAATGGCCTAATCTCACTTGTTTCTAGAACATTATTTCCACAGACATTCCATGATTTGAATTTTGAAAATGTCAGTCTGGCTTTTTTGTTTTGTTTAATAAACCCATATAGAGAGAGCTTTATTTGTGTCAGGCATTGTTTTAAGTGATTTGCTATTTTTAAAAAATTCTCACCAGAGGATATGCTTATTGATTTTAAGGAGAAGGGAAGGGAGAGAGAGAGAGAGAGAGAGAGAGGAACATCAATGAGTTTCCTTCCATATGTGCCCTGACCTGGAATTGAACCCACAGCCTTTTGGTATATGGGGCGATGCTCCAACCAACTGAGCCACAGTGGCTAGGGCTAAGTGATTTACTATTAACTCATTTTATCCTCAGACGACACTATGATGTGGGGACCGTTATTTACCCCATTTTACAGATGAGAAAACAGAAGCCCAGAGAGATTAAGTAACTTGTGCAACATCATACAGCTAGTAAGTGGTGGAGATGAGATTCAAACCAGGCAGTCTGGCTCCTCAGTTCATGCTTTTCCTTTCTCCTTTGAAATGAACTTTTGTGTGGTGTAATTGACATTAAAATAAAAGACATCTGCTTAAAGTGTACAGTTCAGTGATAAATGTATGTCTGTATCTGTATAAAAGCCACTGCAATTAAGATATAGAAATTTCACCCCATAAAGCTTCCTTGTGCTCTTTCGAAACAAACTCCTCCCACTGTCCCTCTTGGTGTCCCAGGCACTCCTGATTTGTTTTCTGTCACTGTAGGTTATTTTATCTAAACTAGAATTTCGTGTAAATGGAGTCATGCAATATGTACTCTTTTGGATTGGCTTTTATTTGGCATTACATTTTTGAGGGTATCCATATTCTTGCTTAAATCAGTTTATTTCTCTTTCTCTGCTTATAATACGATATTTTCCTTTGGGTGCTTTCCTCTCCCCAAGGCAAACACTAATCTGTTTTCAATCCTGTAATTTTGCAGTGTGTAACCTTCGTGATTGCCTTTCCCCCCCACTCAACATAATTCCCTTAAGGTCCATTCAAATTGCTGCATATCCATAATTTGTTCCTTTTTATTTCTGAGTAGTATTGCATGATGTGGACATACCACAGTCTGTTTAATCAGTCACCAATTGAAGGATATTTGAATCGGTTCCAGTTTTTTACTATAATGAATAAAGCTGCTATAAACATTTGTGCACAGGCTTTTATGTGAACATAGATTTTCATTTCTGTGGGATAAATTCCCAAGAGTGCAGTTGTTGGGCTATATGTTAAATGCATGTTTAGTTTTATAAGAAACTTATAAACTACTTTCCAGAATACCTGCACCATTTTATTTTCTCACCAGCAATGTCTGAGTGATTCAGTTTCTTTGCATGCTTTCCAGCATTTAGCATTATCACTTAAAAAATTTTTTTTTGCCATCTGATAGATCTATAATGATGTTATGGTTTTAATATTTATTTCCATAATGGCTAATGGTGTAGAATGTCTTTTTATGTTCTTATTTATCACCTGGATATCCACTTTGGTGAACTGTCTGCTCACATATTTTGCCCATTTACTAATTGGATTGTTTATGTTTTTTACTGTTTAGTTTGAGAGTTGTTTATATATTCTAGATTGATTTTTTTTTGTCATTGGTGTTTTTTGGCAGTTTAATTATGATGCACCTCTGTGGTTTTCTTCATGTTTCTTCTGCTTGGGGTCTGTTCAGCTTCTTAGATTTGTGGGTTTTAGTTTTATGAAACATGAAAAGATTTTGACCATTGTTTCTTTAAATATTTGTTCTGCCCCCCTCTTCTTTCCTGGGGCTCTAATTACATACATTTTAGATGTTTCGTATTGTCCCAGGGCTCTCTTAGATTTTTTTGGGATCTTTTTTCACCTCTGTTTTAGTTTGGATATTTCCTAGTGCTAAGATTTCAAGTTCACCAATCTTTCCTTTTGCAGTGTCTAATCTGCTGTTAACCACTCCCAGTGTATATTTCATTTCAGATGTTGGATGTTGTATTTTTCATTTCTAGAAATTCCATTTGAGTCTTTTGTATCTTCCATGTTTCTCCTTAATATATTTATACTTTTCTCTACCTTCTTGAACCTACAGAGTATATTTATAATGGACATCCTTGTCTGTTAATTTGATCTTCTGTCATTTCTGGATCTGTTTCTGTTGATTGGGTTTTTTCTCTGGTAATGATGCATATTTTCCTGCTTCTTTGCCTGGTAATTTTTGATCGGATACTGGACATTTTGAATATTTACATTGCTGGTTACTGGATTTTATGATACTTCTTTAAATATTGTTTGGATTTTTTCTGGGATGTAATCCAGTTAATTGGAATCAATTTGATTCTTTCCAGGCTCACTTTCCTTAATACCCCACATGTTTGGAGATTTTTCCACTCCAGATGGTAGGACTTATTTTCTGCCCTGTGTGAGCTTGAAGGATTGTTCTGCCTACTATTGGTGTGTTTTTTCTAGAGTCTCAGGTTGCTTCTTACATGTATAGGCATAGAGAGACAAAAATTCAGCCAAAGACTCGGACATTTCTGCAAATCTCCAGAACTTTCTCTCATTGCAACTCTTTTCTCTCCAACTGTCTCCTCAATTCAGTGAGACCTGTGGGCTCTGTTGGGATTCTCCCTCCTTGTGCTGAGGTCTGGAGACCCCAGATAGTGAGCTTTGGGACTTACAGAGCTCAGTTTGTTTTTGTATAAAGGAAAACTTGAGTAGGGAATATCCGAGTTCTTCACCTCCTTCTTTGTTCTCTTTCCTGTGAGTCTTTCACCTGTGTGTCTCTGTTACCACTCACACAGAACACTTCACTTCTGGTCACCAAATGTGTGAAAGTCCCCCCCCCCCCC